CCAGAGGCAGGTAGCCTGTGCATGTTTCCCAACACCAAGCAAGTGTCCTTCCCAAAGGTACAGGGAGTGGAGCTGCGTGAGGTGTCCAAGCGGCAGCTGAAGGGCAGGCTGGTATGATGTCAGTGTTCTCTCACCTGGGGAAAGGGATGCTGTCTCCCAATGGCATAGTGTCTGTCGGAGTGCTCAGAACAAGAGAGATGTAAACCTGTTAGAGCTCATCCACAGGAGGGCCACGCAAATGATAAGGGATGGAGCAGCTCCCTATGAAGACAGGCTGAGAGAGCTGGAGCTGTGCAGCCTGGAGAAGAGAAGGCTGAGGAGACCTGAGAGCGGCTTATCTGTATCTAATGGGGGCTGTAAGAGAGATGGGGACAGACTCTTCAGCAGGGTCTGTGGTGATAGGACAAGGGAAATTGGCTTCAAACTAAACAAGAGGAGATTTAGGTTTGGTATACGGAAGAAGTTTTTTACGGTCGGGGTGGTACTGACGCAGTGAGGTGGTGGATGCCCCATCCCTGGAGACATGCAAGGTCAGGATGGAGGGTCTCTGAGCACCTGATGGAGCCATTTGTGTCCCTGCTCATTACAGTGGAGTTGGACCAGGTGACCTTTGATGGTCCCTTCCAACTCAAACAATTATGTGATTCTGTGATGCTGTGATTCTGTTTTGTGTAAGTTTAAATTCAGCGTGGGTCATGGCTGGCTCTGAAGGTGCGGGTGCAGTGGTTGATACCAAGTTGCACACTGGGCTTTCAACAGACTGGGCTGAAACATAGGATACTACAGACATAGGTTACAAGATGAGAAGGAAAACAGGTCTTTTTTTCCTCTAGACTTGAGAACAAATCAGGTTTTGCCTGGACTACTCCTTTTCAGAACACATTCTTTGTAACTGAGCTCCACGCTCAGCATGGGAGAACCCTGTCTTGGGCTAGGAGAAGGACAGCACAGTGGGACAAGCCTGCACACCCTGCCCACCCCCTGCAGCTGAAGGCTTCATCCTGTGCCTCCTCAGTCAGGATCAGGCTTTGTCACAGCCCAATCCCCCATGACCTCCGTGGCCTCTCCTCGTGTCCCCTGGGAGCTGTCATGAGACTGCCTGCGCCATGCGGTAACACGGGTCTCGGGGATGCAAGCAAGGTCAGATGTCTGCTCAGAAATAAGATTGGCGATGATGCCACCGGAGCTGACAAATGGCCTGTCACTGCTCCGTGACTCACGGCAGTGAGAGGGCAGCGGTGGAAGAAACCCATGAGGTCACTCGTAGCCTCGCTCCCCCCTGGGAGCTGTGTGTAGCCTTCACCCAGGGAGTGCTGGGCTGGGCAAGGCTCTTCCTACAGCCTTCCTTCTGTGTGCCTGCATGTGGGTTTAGGTGCCTGGCACAGGTCTGATTTAGCTCCTGCACACACCTGGGGAGCTGGTCCTGTAGTGCAGATGGTGTCCGCTCTGCGGCCCCTTTTTGGATCTGGGTTCCTGCATGGGGTACTCCTCAGTTCAGCAGTGCTTGTGAGCAGGGTGAGGGGTGAGACAAAGTTTGTGCTTTCAGCCTGTTGCAGTGCTACTGTGATGCACAAATGTGGTGCTGTAAGGAACAGAGGGCCCTGCAGAGCCAGCCCAGCACTGGTATGCTCCAGCCTGGGCCATACTCCTCTGTTCTGGGACATTGGCAGGGGTCAGCTCAGCCTGCCCTTTCTCTCTCATGTTAAGACTTTCCATACTTTTTAAAAGAGCTTTTTTCTCAGTTGCAAAAATCTCCATGGACATCACAGCCAAAGCAGCCAGCACCAGGTGCATGCTGCTGGAGATACTGCACCCACCACTCAGCCTTGGGGCCGAGTTGCTTTTTTGGGGACAGTATTGGTGTTATGGGATTTGTGGGGAACAGGTGACCTAAACTCTCCAAGTAATTTGGAGGAATATCCCAGTTTCATTATTCCAGTTTCAGTTATTCTGCCTCCTGACATGCTTCATCCTCTTAGCCAGCTCCTGGGAAGCAATGGCGCAGCTGGGAAGGGTAGGATGGGGTTTCCTCACCTAGAAGGGCAGATGAGAGCACACTGATGGGGATCAGGAGTTGCAAGTCTTGGCAGCATGAAGATCTCTGAGCTGGATGCAGGGGATACCTATGAACCACTGCTTGGATCTGGTGTCCTTCCTCCCACAAGGACACCTGTCCTAAAAACCTGAACCCTCTCCACAAAATGCAAATGCATGAATTCTCCTTAAGAATCCATCACAGGCTTCTTGTCTCCATCTTGATTGGCTCCAGTGAGGTCAACTTTTTTAATAACTTCTGGACTTCAGCAGGGAAAACTCATTCCTTCAGGAAATAATATAATTAAGGTTGCCTGACACTTGTGATTATAAGACCCTCTCTTCAGTTGCTTGAAACTATGCCAGTCTTTAACAATGTAGACTGAAACTTTGCATGTCTCTGCTGCCAGCTGAACTTTTTTGGAAACTTTTAGCAGAGAAGTGTTTTAAGGTGCTCTCAGGGCAAGCTTTGGGGAAAAAAAAGACATTACTTTATCAGTAGCTTAAAAAACATGTACTTGCAGTTAGGCTGAAGAAACTCTAGTACCTTTACACTGTGAGACCAGGGCAGATTGCTTTCAGGAGTGTATACAGTCTGTGTGCAGAGGTGCTACTTGCCGCTCTGCTCCCCGCAGGACCTTCAGTGCTTTGAGCATGCAGGACTGCCAAGCCCATAGTTCAACTGATGCAAGGTATGCTTCACTGATGGGAGGCTATGGGTCCCTCCTGTTGGCACAAAGAACTCACTGATCCCTGATCCATATAGTTTTGTGTATGATGATGGGAGAGAAAAGGCTTCCCTCCCCCCTCCCAGCATTAGTATTATTGTTAGTATAAGTATTAGTATTAGCAAGAATTGACTAGGATATCCCTCTGCCTCAGCCCCATTGGTTGTCTGGGAGGTACAGAGGCATGCAACAAGCAGCTAAACCACCAGTTCTTTTGCATCGCATCTTCCTAATTCAGCATGTCGTTATGGAAGTGTCCAAAATAAGAGCGAGTTGTGGGGACAGCCCTGCCAGATCCTATCCAGCAATCACCTTGATAACGTGTCCTGATAGTGGCACTTGGGACCTTGAGTCTAGGGTGCTTGCAAGAGCTCAGGGCTGCTGCAAACCCTCCTGTGGAGCTTGTGCTGCCCTTTGCACCCTACACAAGCCTGCCTCAGAGCTGTATCCTGTTTTCCGGGAAGTTCAGCTCACTGATACTCAATTCCTGCAGGTTGCCCTGAGTTAGATATTTCAGGTGCACACCTGTTCTGGACACACCTGCTGAGTCCCTCCAAAACCTGAGTTGGTCCTCAGTTTGGTTGAGTCCTTGAGAAGCAAAGATGAGAAGGCAAGGCTCTGGGGTCTGTACCAGAGATGGCTTGTTCCTATAGAACAGGGCTCAGGGATATCCTGGAGACACCCAAGGTCAGGCTGTCAGGCTCTGGGGACTTTGAGCACCAGATCAGGCTGTAGGTGTCCCTGTCCGTGAAGGAGAGTTGGACCTTTGAGGGTCCCCTGCAGCTCAGACAGTTCTGTGATTCTGTGCCCATCTTCATGGTGTGAGTGGGTCCCAAGGACACCCCTCAGCCAAGGGTCCCTGGTTGTAACAGAGCATCCTCACTGCTTGCTTTGCCCTGCCTTCCTCTGCTCTGCTCCATCTGTGGTTTAAACCCTCCCCCCCCCTAAAAACGACAACAACAACAACAAAAAACGCATCGTTTTCATTGCAGAGCAAAGGAGCTTGGTGGAAGGAGCCCTCGTGCACCCTGTCAGCCTGGGGTGCCCAGTGGGGCAGCTCGTGAGTGATGGGGCGTTGCGGCTGTTCGGCTCGGGGCAGCTGGAGTTAAATTTCCTGGTGTCTGACACCTGACAAGCATGATAAATTGTGGTACGCCACGCGCTGCCAGCGTGACAAACGGTCCATTGCCCTCCTTTTAAGCTCTGGGAAAACTTTTTAATTATTTCCCAGCACTTTGCAAATGAGCGTTTCTCAATCAGGCGCCCAGTGGAGTTTGTTTTTTTTTTATCAGGAGGGGAATGGAGGTAGGGGGGGTTATTTGTTTGTTTGGGTTTTGCAGGCAGATGGGGGTGGGCAGGGGCTGCAGTTTGGGTTTGTGCAGTGTTTGGATGTGGTCCTGCGGAGGGTTGGGATGGAGCTCATCAGCTCAGGTGCTAATTAAAGCACATCGTGTTCCAGGCTTGCAGTCGCCCATGGGAAAACGTCTCCCCAAGAGCGGCACTGAGGCTCTCCTCTGCCAGCGGAGTTTGGCTCCTTCTATTTTTCATATTTAATAATGCAGAACCGTAGTACTTTTTTTTTTTTTATCTTCTCAAAGTGCTTAAAAAGGAGGAGGGAACCAAAGAAGCTCAGCCACAAGAGCTAGATAATGAGTGCAGATCTTGGCTGATAATTTGTTTGTCTAACACGAAAAGTGTGTTTGCAGTTGTAACCAAAGGCACTGAATGCCCCAGACTCCACCTCTTTGGGCAGCACATCACACAGCATCTCTCACACGTTTGTAGTCCTGGGAACCTGTACCACAAAACTCTGTGTTCTTGTTTCCTTCCCTTGGCGTACAGTGGAACCGTGTATAAGGCCCTGCAGGGTTAGGGCTTATGCAGCACAAGACCTGTGGGCATGTGCCAGGATGCTGGGCTGACATTTGGTCCTGCTACATTATTTTGGATGGCTACTGTTGCTGTCTTGAAGGATGATTAGAGATGCCCCAAGCTGCTGTATTTTTTCCCCCTCTCCTGTTTCATGTCTCTAAATCAAAATAATTAAGCAGATGCGTGCTCTGGGGCTGAACTGGGATGCTCCTGTGGGAGGGCTGTACATCCGAACAAGCTTTGTGTCACCCCTGGCTGCCAGGGCTGGGAAACAGATGCCCCCTCCCTTGTTCATTGCCTATGCTTGAAGCAAGCGTAGTGCTGCACCAGATAACCTGACAGACTGTCTCTTCTGCTTTGTTGAAGAAACTCCCAGATCCGAGTGACGGGGTTCAGCCAATCGTGAGCAACCAGAAGAATCCCGGAGCCTTTGATGATAAATAGGGGACTCCCCCAGGACTCAGGACCGGTGGAGAGGTGAGAAGTGTACTGAAGTGCTCACTTACCTGCCTTGCCCTCAATTCATGTGCTCTAAGCATCAGAGCTGGTGCCTTTTCTGTTCACCCTTCCTGCACATGGGATACGGCATCTATCTTGTGCCCAGCTTTGTCCCACTGATGCTGTAGGGCTGTGTCCCCTTAGGAAAACAGCATGGCTGCCAGCACTGGTCAAAAGGTTGTCAGATTTTCTATTCATGCCTTATATGCGTTGTGATAATCTAGCATCATTTTTGAAGAAATCTGGGGTCACTTCCTAAGCCACAGGGGCTCTACTGGAGCAAAGGAAGAGTGGTGATGGTACTGCCTTGTTTGGACATATGGGCCATGCTGAGACTTGCTGGGGGTTGGGAAAGCCAATGCTTGCTGCTGCTGGGCTTGAAAAATGAAAGTGATGAATTAAATTTTTAGCGGGTCCCTAACTGCCAAGCAAAGGCATCTTAAATGAGGATTGTCACTGTTTGACTAGCATAGCCTTCCACTTAGCAAAAATTGCATGGTTTTAATTATGCTGATCTTGGAAAAGCAATCACTTGCACCAGAGAGGTGAAACTTCACCAAGACATCAAGTGTCAGGAATTCTCACTGCCTGCTTCTACTGCTCTCCCCCATGCAACCCATTTCCCAGGGATGTTTTGCGGCCTCTTTCAGTTTGCATCAACCAAATAATTGTCCCCTGAGCCCTAGGCAAGGACAAGAATGCACCCTGCAATTGCATTTGGGCATGGGTGCAGGCACTGGATGTAGCTCAAGGTGAGAAACCACAGGGGTGGGCAGCTCCTGGTGGGGCACATTGGTCTGCAGCAGCAGAACTGCCATCAGCAGTGCCTGGGGGTGGCATCTGTAGGATGGTGTGGAGTAAGGACTGCTTCCCGTCCCTCATCCTCCACCCAGCAACAGTTCTCCTTGCAGCTCTGCAAATAGAGAGCAGCACAAGGAGAGTACGTTGCTAATAATACCAATTACTGTTACACGCTGGCTACAAGGTACGCTGGCAGTAATGGGATCCGGGGGGATGAAATGAAAGCGATATAATATGGTGAGATAAATTAGCATTGTAAAATTAGCCATGGGTCTAGTCGGGGATCTGACAAATGTGTTGCAGCTTCGTTACAAGCTCTGAGCTCTGCCGAATTGGATTTAGTGGCCCAAAGCAAAGCAGACAGGAGCAAGGGAAAAGAGAGTTTATTAGGGGTCTCCGTACACACATGCTAATGGTTAACGCTGCTTGTTGCTTCCTTGACTTTGCTGAATGATACGTCCCCTGGCGCCTGCTCGTATGCTGCAGTGCAGGAATAAAAGCCCAACACTGCTGATGTGCTGCTGGAGCAGCTCAAGCCTGGCAAAGGAATGGGAAGCGGATGGAGGGGCATGGGTTTGGGGTCAGGTGGGATGTGGGGAAGGTGTTTGTGCTGTAGCTGTGTTTCAGGCTGTAGGAAGGATTGGAGGCTGCGGCCTTACCCATTTCCCATGACCTGGGCTGGGCTCTGGGGCAACTAGAGCTGGGCATCCCACAGCTCCACCTGTGCGTCAATGAAACACCATCAACTTCAGGGGTCCAGATGCACGTATTATCCTTCTTTCTCTGAAAAGGAAGGCTGTTTGTGCCTCAAGAATGGCTGTGGCCAGATCCAGTGGGACCTGCTGCCTGGAGGCTCGTTAGGCAGCAGCAGAGGCAAGCGGTCCCGCTGTGAGCAGTGCATGGATTTGTGAATGCAGACTAATTGCATGTTTAATGGCTGATGCATTACACAGAATCTAGGGAGGGGCAGGCATGATTTAGGTCTGGTTTAATAAGACACGTCATGTGGCTCATTTAATAATAATAAAAGCAAGGGAGAAAAGTGCAGAATGTGCTGTAGAGCTCTGTGGTGGAGCTGAAGGGCTTGTGAGGAGGTCAGTACTAAGGCTTCTGCAAGCTGTGCCACTGTGGTGCTAGAGGAGTGGTGGGTATATGGCAGACATGTCCATAGGAGGGATGAATTCCTGGGGATTTCAGCAGAGGGCTGGCCATTGTACCGTGCTGTTCTGGCAGTCAGTGCACTGTGGGCATATACTTGTTGCATTATGTACACAATGTGATGTTGCCAGAAGGGTCCTCTGGACAGCAGCATTGGCTGGAGCAGTGGTCACCATGGGGCCATCTCAGCAACACCCAAACCCAGGAGCATCCCAAGAAACCCAGGTGCGTTTGTGTGCTTGAACCAGGTTGGTGGGGACCCAGATGGTGGGAGATCAGTGTGCTGGTGCAGCTGCCCATGTCTATATGGCTGCAGAGCAAGCAGGGCATAAGGTGCAGCTGTGATGCATATAAGGCACATCAGACCCCAACCAGCTCCAGGTACAGCCAAAGAGTTAGTGAAAGCAGATCCTCTGGCCCCATCTTTGTTGCTGGAGAAGCAATGCAGGACCTCAGCAGGGAGCAGCAGGAAGGCAAGCCCACGGTGCAGTGCTCATAGAAGCATAAATAGAAATACGACTTCTCAGGCTCTTGTGCAGCAATGATATATCTTGTTTCTATTGACTTTTTTTAAACCTCTAAAATACATTGTAGATTGATCTACAAATCTGCAAAAAGCACCTGTTTTTTTTCTTTTCTTTTTTTTTTTTTAAAGTCTAAAGCAATTTTCTGCCTGCTCCTTGTGGTTGGCTCTGAACAGACACATGTTCTCTTGTCCTCTTTGAGGCTGGCACGCTGCCACGATAGTAGGAAGTTTAGTAATACTTGAGCTGGATCGATGCGAGCCCATTATCTGTGCTGCCTGGGACTTGGAAGAGACGGGGAAAAAATGCTCTCCCCAAACGCATCAAAGCCCTGCGATAAGGACAGGCGGCTATTTATAGATGGACAGATGTCTTGCCAGAGCTCTGCTGCTGTCACTTGTTTATGCAGCTTTTGAGCATTTAGCAGTGTTTATGAGGGTCTGAAGAGAAATCTGTCCTACCTTCTGTCTGAGATGGATCCCTCCAGGCACTGCCGATGATGGTGGCTCGTTTGCTCGAGGGCTTTGTTCTTGTTCAGAAGGAGGGACGTGCCCTTCAGATGGCAAGAATAACATGGTTGAGAGGCCCCGAGGTGCTCTGCGGTCAAAAATAAGGTGTGAACAGTGATCTCATGTCCTTGCATTGCTGCAGACCCACATGGACCTTGGAGATCTGTAGTTCAGAGCAGGACTGTCACCAGCGCTGTTTCAGGTTGTGTGGCTGTGAGTCTTTACAGCTTGGAGGTCTCCATCCTCTGCCTCCTGGGATTGTGGCTCAGAAATGAGGTTTTTCCTACTGGTTAGTTAGTTAGTGTGGCCAGTGCCATTCTGTTTCCTGTAAAAGTCTACATCCCTCTTCAAGAAACACACAGAGCACTTGAATTGGTACAAACCATTCAGCCTCAATGTCAGGAGTGGCTCCTGAGGCCAGCTTAGGTCTTGCAGTGCATGTCCATGTATGTCTTCAGTGAGAGCAAGTGTCTGAGCCAGTCCTCCAGCTGGCCCTCAGGACAGGCAGAAGTTTCTCCTTGCATCCAGTGGCAGCCTTTTCTTTCAGCTACAGCACACTGCCTCTCATCGTCTTGCCTTGCATTGCTGCAGAGAGCCCAGCTCAGTCTTCCACAACTCCCCCGTCCATTTTGGTGACCTCTGCTGGATTTTCTCTAATTAACAGCTTGTTACTGGGGCTCGGAAGACCAGCCGTGGTGGTGGGATGGTGTTCTCAAAGCAAGTGCTTCAGTGGCCTGGGGCTGCAGGAGAGAAGGAGGTGTCTGCAGGCAGGTTTAGGATACCAAACCTGACTGTGTATTTTAACGCATCCTTTATAGGGTGCCTCATTCCTGAACCAGGGGGCAGGGGACATTTCTGCTCCCTGTAATGTGATCATCTACACAGTTTTTGCAGAGTGCTCTGAGCATCCCTTGCTCTCTGCTCAGCTTCAGCCTGTCTCCAGGGTGCCACTTTGCTCTGACCATATATTCCTCTGACTAGTGGGCAAGCCAGGAAGTGGGTACCTTTGTAATGAAACCACATATAGGCTTTCAAGTGGTGATGACACTTTCTCAAGCTATCTGTCTAGTGGATGTGCATTCCCCAGCTTGTTTGTATTCACAGGCATGATACTTAGCTGTGCAGGTGGGCCATGGATGTCCAGAAAGATGTCAGTGTCAGGAGGAGGCTTTAATGCAAGCCTTTCTGCTATTCTATATGATGGGTGGCAGGTGAGATCCTAATGTGCCAAGGGCTGTGAGGGGGGTGGCTTGCAGGATGAGGCACAGGAGATGTGGCTCAGCCAAGAGGCAGCAGCAGTACTGGGGATGGCTTTTTACTGCTGAGCTACAGCATGACCGTGGCAATCATTCAGTAAATGAGGGCTCTAATGGAGCCAAGCAGTGTTTTCCAATTAAAAGAAACAACCGTCAGTAACGAGGACAGCACTCCCTCTGAAATACTATATGCTCACCAGATTGCATTACAGCCACTGTGGGTCTTGGCCCCAGGAGAACTGTGATGATGGATGCCCGATGCTTTGCCCCTTAGGGCAGATGTGAGGTGTATCTGGAGTGGGATCTGCCCTGTGAGCGAAAGCAGTGTGAGGCATTACCCTTGTCCTTTCCAATGGAAATGGGGTGCCAGTGGGAACCTTCTCTCTTTCTAACAGCAGGATGGTTCCAGGCTGCTGGGACACCACTCTGCTCCAGAGCAGTTAGCAGCACATGCTAGGCTTGGTGTAACAGCCTCTAACAAGTTTGGCTCAGTGCTGCCCTTCACTGAGATCATATTGCTGGCTCTTTTTCTTCCCCTTGCCCTAAATCGTAGCACTTACATAAAAAAGGAGGGGCACACACGTGGGGCCTGCACGATTTATGGATCAGAGATTTATATGCCGCTGGGATGCTGTATTTTTTCCCCACCGTGACACTTTATTGCCACAAATTACCAAACAGGCAAGGTTACACGAGTGACAGCAGCAGGGCTGTAAAGGACAGGAACAAAC